TTCTGAAGAAGAGGGTTTTGATTCCGGATTTGAAGGAGTTTAGAGAAGATGACTCTCTGATATCCTTAAGGAGAGAGTTCCAGAGCTTGGGGGGATAACAGGAGAAGGTCCTGTCACCCATACAATGTAGACGGGCTTGGGGGACAGCCATTACTTAAAAAACCTTCGTTTGCAGTTGATAACCTTGATAGAACATCAATTTTCATATAACAGCAACATTTGGTCAGTGTTTCCTTGTGAGAAATCCTTCTATCACGTTTTTAAACTGTAACCTTGTTGCCATGGTTACATGATCAAACAGAAAGAAAGAGGAAGGGCCTGTGAGGACAAACAGTATTTATTTCTACATTCTTCTTCTTCTTAGACTATTTCAAGGTCACTAAATTAAACTGCTTCCTTTTCAAGCTTGTGAAAAGTCCTCAGTAAGTGTTGTGGCAACTTAAAAGAACCGAGGAAGGAGGGAGGATTTTGGGGACAGAGGTAGAATTGGCTAATGTCCTGCTGTGATGACCCCTAACTGCATTTATAGGCTTGCTATCTTTTATATTACCCCTAGCAATAGAGGGTGTACAGCACATAGCATTATAACACAAGAGAACAACAGAGAGCTATCAAGAGATGAAAAGGGGAAAAATATTTTTTAGTAGAGTACTGTATGTAAACTTAGGAGCACTGGGACGACAAGTACAATTTACTCTACCCAGATGTTAAAAATATTCTGGCATTTGGTTAATTTATCTGTTACAATGAGGGAAATGCCAACCAGACTGTTGATATTTTCCAACTAGACTTGGCAGAAGATGCATTTGCTTTCTAATCACCAAACAGAACACTCACTGGGAGTTCATGAGGGAAAAAACTGTGAAAGTGTTCTGGTACTGTAAACTTGCTGCTTGAATTTACAATAAAAAAAATTAAGTAACAAATGAAAAATGCAAATTTTTATTGTCGTACAACAATATTTACAGTCAACTGGACATAAAAGTCCTGTCAGGTCTCTTCAGAAATTCTTTTGTTAATACTGTAGGTTTGTTTTGGCTGTTTTATAAAAAGGGTGCATATTGCTATACTAGATGCATACAATTATCAGTCTTAAACATTTTTAAAGATGAGTGAGATACATTCAAAAATGAACCATCTACAGAGAATGCTCTATGAAAAAAACGTATTTATTAGTATGTGGCAAAACCTAGAAAAAAAATTACAAAAGGAAAACTTTGCAGAGTGTGCACCTTGAATGTGGGAGACATTCCACTTTTTAGTGGAACAAAATTTACACAGGCTCTTTGGGAGACTAGCTCTGGTTAGATTTCACCTTGATTCTGCAGTCTAATGTCTTTTGACATTCCATTGCAGTCCCATCAAACCGGAACCCTAGATTCAGAGTTCACAAAGCTTTTCTACTGGCAGGACTAACAGGCCATAAAGGGTTATTAAAATGTCATATTCAATACCTGCAAGTCTGGACAGTTTCTGAAACTGGCTTCTCCCTGCACTGCAAGAAAAAGAACAATGGTAGTTCCCTGCTGCTTTTTTCTGGACCTCAAAATGCTCGGTGGCCTTGCAAGCCAAAGGCAGAAGGCTAGTCTTTCATGCAGAACTCATGCACGGTTCACAAAAGATCTGCTGAGGTGGGCTTTTATAAGTCCGCCATAGTCCACGTTAAAAACTACTTGTAGCAATAAAAGGCAAAATTCATACTTCTGCCAAATGTGTCAGAGCAACAGCATTTTTGGCAGCTCTTCAGGGGAGTTCAGTACTGCTTCTCTTTGGAAAAAAAAGTCAGTGAGTGCAAAGGAAAGAGTGAAAGGCGCAATCTTTCAAAGCTCCTCCAAATTGAAGCTTTTAAAAGTAATGCACAATCTCAGCGTGACACTGCCAGGGAGCTAGGTAAAGCTATTATTGAAAATGTGTGAAAAGCTGTGATTGACAGTGTGAAACAAAGCCAAGTGGTGGTTATTTCAGTGGACAATTCTGAATACATGACCTGGGGGGATGAATTAGAAAGTCTTATCAGTACTGGTAAATAAGTATTGTAAACCCACACATTTTTTAGTGATTTGATTTTAAGGGTGCTAAGTCAAGCACTTTTTTATTTACTGGAATATCAATAAAAAGTAACACCCTATTATTACTACCCTAATAAAAAATAATCAATACAGTCTCACAGTGAGACTTTGCACAACTTAAACAGTGTTCTGTTTCAAGGGATTTGAATCACACATTTCTAACGAGATGACAAGGAGATATTACAGCAGCAAAATGCAAAAAAAAGAGTATTAGAACTTCTCAAATATGTACAAAAAGTGTTAATTAATTCATCTGATGCTGTTATCCAAAACAACTTATATTTACAGTATACCCATTTATACAGCTGAACATTTTACTGAAACAAATGTGTACCTTACTCACACACACTTAAAGGGAACAACAGAAGTGCTCCACATCTTCCAGTTGCAAGCCGAGAGCCATAACCTCTACTCTATACTGCAGCCTGGGCACATGAGCAGGCTTTAGAAGATTACAACTCTACAACATTACATGTAGTAGAGAAATAAAACATTAAATACTTTACTAAAGGAAGAATGCAGAACACTCATCATTAAGTTAAATATAGCATTTGTAAATTCCAATCACAATGTTTTACTGCTATCATTATCTATTCTTACACTCAAACCAGGCCTTGAAACTCATGTCTCTCATGGAGAACAATATCAGCGATTTTCCCTCTATAGCCACACCATGCTCAGGAGTATAAGAGGCCAACCAGAAAGTTGTGTTATTTCAGAAATGAAATCAAGTGCTTCTCACTTCATCCAGCTTGTTTCTTTTACTGTTGATTCAATTAGGTAATCTAATAAATGTTCCATTTATTGACTGTGGTTGATTATGTAACACTTAGCACAACAAAGCATTTTATTCCCCTCCAGCACCATGTACCAGAGACTTAACTATTTTATTGGTGCTCTTATCCTTTTCTGATAGGCCTGATAGGGAAAAACCATGGGGTGCCTGTATCTGTCCTGATTGCTCAGACTCTCAAATACCACACACCACCAGGGATGGCTTCAATGTGAAAATGGGGCAAAGAGAGCAGTTTGAAACACTTAAGAGTATTTTATCTCTGCTTCATTTAAGGAGTCTTGAATGAAAGGAAAACAGAGTCGTTGAGGGAATCCTTAGTTGTTCTGCGGATAGCCGAATTAAGTTACAGAGGCACTTTTTGTTTAAAAAATCCAGAATAAATTACTTTTTGTTTATACACACACATCCTTTCCCTTCACTGCTATGACCCTCTGTCCAGCATGGAAGCACTGTACACACTTTCCGTCAACACCATATAGTATCGGAGCCATCTGCTGCTTTTCACACTGTGAACCCCACAGAGCCACAGCTGAGTTAGTATTGACAGGAGCGAATGATCTGGCACCCCAGTATATAAGGGATTTTGCAAGCCAAGGACACTCTGATCCACTGAAGCCAACTCAACCCTGGACAATTCTCAGGCCAATTGATCATCACTACATGGAGAATCCAGTGACACGTGCAAGTACAGTAGTAAATGATATAATGTAGATTGAACCCATAGTGTACTGCAGGACTGAATCTTGACTCAAGATGAGACCCTCTGAGGCTCTAGAGTAAACAAAGAAACTAATGCCACCGATTACTTCAGTACCCCATTTGGGATCTACTCCTGTCAGCTCCTGTCGGAGAATGTCTTGCAGAGTACTAGGACAGTGGAAGTGCTCTTCAGCACTTCCACTGCTCCAAGAATCAATCTTCCAAAAACTGACGCTTGGCAGTCTCTGTGTGCCTCAACACTTAAGCTGCAAAAAAAAAAGTCACTTCAGGAAAATTCAGCTGTGAAGCAGGGACAGCAGAGTGTGACAGAGCTGCTGAGAAGTGAATGACTCCTCCTCATACATTATTCATCCCGGGCCATTAAAATACGCTTGATGTTATCTCTCCTATATTGTACTTTTTTCTGTTTCTCTTTGTCTCTTTAACCTACTGTTCTCTCTATGTCCCTGCTTCATCACTCTCTTTTTTCTCTCCTACGTCCTATATTTATATATATAATGAGAATACATTTATATATTCTTTCCTATATTTTTTCTCTTCTATCTCTCCATCGCCCACTCTCTGCTATCTTATTTCTTATCACCCTGTTTCCTCCCTCCCCCCTCTTTCTTACTCTTCCCTCTTTTCCCCTTATCAGCTTCCCCCTCCTGTCTTCCTCCAAGCTTATCTTTCTCTTCATCTCACTCCACTTCCTCCCTCTGGGTCTTATCTCTTCTCTTCAACAAAACTGTCTCTGCAGTTCCAAGCGCTATATCTTTCTATACAGTATATCCTTCATCTTTATCATTCCATCCTGTCTTCCCTTTCCCTTAGTTATGTGTTTAACTGTTTTTTGCCACCTTCCCCTTTTCCTTATAAAACCTTCTTCTTCGCTGCCATTTCTACACCCCCACTTTCTCTTCTCTTCCACCAGCACCTCTCCATCTTGCTTTCACCACCTCATGTAACTGTCCCTGTCAAATTATTTTTTTTCCAGTTCAAAGAGTTTTATTGGCATGACCAATGAATAACAGTGTTGTCAAAGCAAAAACAGTTAGTAGACATTTACAGATATTCAGGACAATGAAGACATTTTATTTACTGAGAACCTCCTTCTTGCCTATGTCTTTCTTTTAGATAGATCCTCATCCTGTCAAGCCCAGCTAAGACACTTTTTCTTCATCTGCTTCATTTATCATATTAATACAAATATAGTAGAATAATAGTTCCATCACTGTGAAAAACATGCTTCCTATTCCATATTTTCTGAATACTGATCTCTCAAAATGAAAACTACTTGTAAACATCAAATTAGCTCTTATTAGGAATCTGCTATCTTCTCCACTATGCTACAAAATACTGTATAAGTGCACATACAGAAATGCCAATATGGTATTGTGTATATGATGTGGATTAACATATAGCGAATTTCTTACCGTCATCCCCAGAGCCTGATCCTGCATCTGAAAAAGAAAAAGAAACACTTTAAGAACCTATTAATTTTAATTATAAATGTACACAGCAAAGCATCTAGAAATATGACATACTGATGAAAATATAGGTATCCGAAAGTCAGCTCAATCTCTTGACACAGCCAAGAAAATGCTAGGTATTACTGGAATGAATCATTTCCAGTGTCTTTGTATTAGTATATTTGTATACAAAGCCATCCAGTATAACAACAGCGTTGCCAATAAAACGGAAACTAATTCTAGCAATTCAGTTTGACAAGCAAAGGAAAATGTTTTTAAAGAGGATACAGTGAGGGCTGTTGGCCTTGAATCTCCAATCCAAGCCACAAGGACATGCATACACAATTTCACTCTTAAAAATAGACAGTGTTGCACTCCAGCACGTTAGCAACCAATGCAACAGAGAAGGGATAATCTGTTTGTTTAGCTTATTTGAACAATAGCTCTGAATCTCCTGGCATTTATTGTTTGGTGCCCAATCATTTAAAGCTAAACACAAGTCACATCTTTTTCCCTTTCCCAAGATTTCTGGAAACTACCAGGATGAAAAAATGTCTTGCTGTCTTATTTGGTACTCATAAATGTCAATGTAAGAGACCCATTTCAGGAAGTGCTGATGAGCTGAGAGAGTGAGTGATGTTATTATTTGAAACTGCATATTTCTTCAGTACTCTGGGTACAGTAATGACTTTAGAGAAACAGACCTTACAGTCATTCTACACTCTGTAAAATCTTTTAGGAAAGCAAGGATGTTTCATCCCAGTTGTTCTGAATGTAAACATATTTAAATAATATTTCAACATGAAAAGTCAATATACTGTCCAGGCTTATAGTCTGAGCACCACCATAGTGATTTTTGAACCCCATTTTCTCAGGCCTGTTCCAATTTTCAAAGCAAAAAACAATTTCACTGATTTCTGTTTTTTCCTCCCTACAACTCTATCTCAGTCTGGCATCTGAATATAGAGTGAAGTAGCTCTGTTGGACATCCTGATCACTAGGCTAAAAGTGAATCTGACAGAAAGAAAAGAAAATATGAATTATACAGGTGTAACAAATAAACATTCGGTATAAGCAGAATAACATCTCAGTGCGTTTTATTCTGGTTGGATTCCTGGCCCTACAAGCAACCCCTAAGGGCTGAAAGGACAGAACAAGAAAAATTCAACCTTGTTTATTGCTGCATTGAACAATGGTATCGATAGTTTTTATTCCTTTTGCTGAAGTTATCATAAATATCAAAGAAAGCTTTTTTTCTTTTTTATCCCTGTAGTGGCTAGATGACAAAATATAGATGATCCTATGATTGAACAGGTTTGGAAAGTGATGGAGCAGTGAAGAGTGAGTCCTACTGCCAGCAAATGCCAATAATAAAACTATAAATGAGGGGACAGCCGTTCTGCTGTAGAGCTCTGTGGATATGGGCCGCTCATTTGATTTTCACACCATCTGGACAAAGTGCATTGGCTCATCTGCAAAACCCTGCCTGTTGAGCCCGGAGAAGATGGTCAATCTCCACATCACAAACATGCCTAAAATGAATGCTAACTTTTGTTTGTCCTTGGTGCTGCTCTGCTCTGGTAGTGCAGGTGCAACAGATGTCAACAGATAGGTTTCTAATGTTTCTTTTCCCAAACTAACAGCAAGGATGACGTTTCCCATCCCACTGCTAATATATCTTGCTGGATAGTATACATCAGTATCAGAGTCATTTAGAGAGAGTTGGAAATTGTAGGGCCATAAGCCAGTCAGACCATTAATAACTTCTGTGTATTGACATGTGGAGCTCTGTCAGACTTGAGCCAGTACTGCCATAACAGGGCTTGTGAAGAAACATACAATTATTTTACAAATCTAGAAATTAAAATACACTAAGCTCTTACTTTTTCTATACAAGTTCTTTCTTTCCATCACTGAACAAAGTGGATTTCAAAAAGTAAGGGATAGTTTCTGGACAACTGTGTCTTCTAGAGCTTAGTGCCAGATTTTCTATAGTCTGCCTTGATCACTCTGACAGTCCTGATACAATAGGTACACTGAGAAGCTGTCCTTCTGTCTGGATGATTTCCTGTCATTGCATCTTGCGGTTTCTACATCCCAGCCGCTCAGCACTGATGCAGGAATGACACTACCCATCGGCATTATGCATTCACAAGCACGCTCTGTTTACATCCCAAATTGCCTGTCAGTCTTTCTGTCTTGGTTTTTATCTTCCCCTGTCATCCTTTAACACAGAGATGTGTTGAATTAATTGCCCAAATTATTTGTCTGTGTCTGCTTTTCTATCCATACATCAAAACCATCTGAGCACTGAAAGGAAAAGGTGGAATGATGAATTATTTTAATGATCCATTTCACAATGCCACTTTCTATATCAACATCCCAGTGATTTATGACCCTAAATGGTCTGTCCGTCCTTCCATGGCTACAAATGCTTGATCAATTGCTAAATTTCCTGACCTCTCTATCTTTTAGTGTAAACACAGATACAGCTGTCTGATTGATTGTAATAGAGAACTTTGTAACTGGACAACTTGGGGTGATCAATGTCACAATTAATATGCCATCTTCCGTGTTATATTTCACATTTGTTATTTTTATCAAATTCTGCCTGACCTGCTATCCCTTACGGATAACTATTGCTTATTAGAAGGCTTGGATACATTTTATTCTCCTGCAGCAGCTGGTAATTAAGAAACAAGCCTGCGAAAATGCTGGACCAGGATGCCAGCATTAAATGCCAGGCACTTTTGGCATTAACTGTGATGGTTCACTGGGTAAACAAATTTTTCTTCTGAATGAAGATCTCAGTTATGCCATTTGCAGAGCCACTGAATCTTCATATTTGTATGAAAGGAGACTCCAGATGCCTGGCCGAAAGGATGTCGAAGGCTTAAGTATGAGTTTAATTAACCACATCAGGGCTTAGTTAGACATAAAGCAGTTGATGCACAACACACCCTCAAGCAAATTAAGAAGAGAAGAATGGCACAATACACAACTGCCCTTTTAAGGTCCAAAATATCTGATTTGATGTCTGGAGATATGCATATATAAGTTAATCAGAGCCAGCCTTTCAGTATTTCAAATGCAATCTGGGGATATTATTCACAACCATTAGCAAGTCGCTAGAATAGTGGGAAGTTAGGTCTGTTTACTAAAAATTATCAAAACATATTTATTAAAACATTGTACCAGGAGAAAAACACAAACAAATTGAAACAACATTATTTTCAAGGCTATCTTGAGGTTAAAATGTTAGTAAATACATTTTCTAAATATAAATGTGCCATTTAAAACTGGGCTATACTTCACAAGCTAAATGGGGTGGATCTTGTAATCACCTGGTAGTTACATAAATAACACAGATTAGGTGGCTAGATTGATATATATGTGTCGTATAATGTTTCATTCCTGATTTACTAGGCAAATAATCAGATGCATGGTGATATGTTATCTGTTTCAGATGTAGAAGCTAGTCACGTAACTCAGTAAGATAATATCAAAGCTGAAAGCAGTACTAAGGGCATACTGTGATCCCTCTGGTACAGGCTCCAGGTATTTAAGGCTTTTTGAAAAAACAGGCTCTTTTTGAACACTTCTGCTCATGGATAATTCACATCAATAATTAATAATCTAATGGACGATGCATTTTCTAATGGCTCATTTACATCTCCAAGGTTTTCTGCCTTATGATCCCATTAGTTTTACACTAATTACTCATGCAGCTCAAGTTCATCTCATGTATGAGAGAGAAAATGTAAAGAGAAAACAAACAGAAATATGTATTTGACAGAGGGAAGTTACTGTAATTGCTTGAAGAAAAGTATTTTCTCTTGACACAATCTGCGCCACAGGTGCCCAAGCACATCCCTGAGCTTTTTAAATGTTGGTTTAATTGGAAAACAGACATCTCAGCCTTTCTCTCCAAAGACAAAAGAAATCCAATCACCCTCATCTGAATGCCAGTGTCAAAGGTTAAATGTCTTCAGTCAGTTCACTGCATTGAATTTGAAAGGTTAACAAAGTCATGAAACAGTGATTGGTGCTGCTCCTGCCATGAGATCTCAAAGATACCCTTCATCCATTGGAATAAAAGGGTAAGCTACCCTGTGCTACCAGCCCCAAAACACAGGGCATCAGATGGAGAACCAATAATAACCAATATGAGAGACTCCCCTTACAAAAAATAAAATTTAAGATTTCTATAGAAATGCCCTAATTGTCCTTACAAAGCTGTAGGTTTCTATATTTCTCAGCTATTGGCTATTTTTGTAAAGGTCTGAAACACACTTTGCATCTCACAGGCAACATCATTGAGTGCCAGTCAGGTTATAGATGGTTACACATTCCAATACTTAATAATTTTCTAGAACACATGGAAAGAATCATATGTTTCCTTCTTTAATCTGAGCTGAATTAGTTATTGTATATTTATATCTCAAGATGTGAATTACTTTTATAATAATTACAGTATAATAATAATTGCTTACACCTATATAGCCCTTTTCTGGTCACTCCACTTAAAGTGCTTTACAGGTAATGGGGACTCCCCTCTACCACCACCAATGTGCAGCATCCACCTTTTAAAATGTTAAGTAGAGCAACTAAACCAAAGATCTCAAATTCAACTCCCTGAGAGTATAGGGGATTTCAGTTTTTGTTCCACCTGAGCTACAGTCATTTCCTTTACTGCATACAGTAATTGTAATACTTATAAATATTATAATAATGCTAGTAACACTTATAAACAGGATCAAAATTTGTATATCTAACTGTACCTGTAAAGAATATTTTGAGTGACCAAATGTAAAAGACCATAAGGAAAATCTTGGATTTGTCTAACAATGAAAATAATTAGTTTAACTGTAAGTGAGGTCCTTGAACTGTCCACTCACTGTGTTTTTATAACTCATGCAACACACCATTTTAGAGCACCGTTATGTTCTGAAATATTAATAAATAAACCTTTACCAAATTAATATTAATGGTGTTTGTGATATGAAGTATGTCTTAGTGATAATTTGGTCTATTTCTTTGCCCCCAAAATTAATCATACTATACACAACATTTCCAGAATTAACTGCCAGTGTTTTATTTATCCATTTATCTTGGTTATTCATATAGTACACATAATATACACCTACTATTCTAGTTAAAGGTAGCTAGCTATACAATATACAACAATGAAAGAAGTAATGAGGTCTAAGATTACATTTAACTTTTGTTGGTCACAGCCCAGAGCTCATGTTAAAGAACCTTTAATGTATGGGATCTTGAACTATGGTTTGCGACCCAAAGCAAGTCATGAACATAATAACTTTGTGAACAGGACAAGCTGTGAACCTGCAGACTGGGTGGGAGAATTGTAAGCTACTATGGTCATGGGAAACTTGTCTCTGTAAGTTCCTTCAGTCAGGTAGTGAATTTTGATGAAACTAAATGAAGACCAAAGAGCCTTCAAAACAACTCAGTTGAGGGAACTTGGAAGGGTATACACATTTCAAAGACATTGAATATCCCGTTGAGTAATGTAAAATCTATCATTAAGAACTGGAAGGTGTACCCCATTGACCAGATGCTATCTAGATCAAGCTGTCCCTCGAAACTGAACATCCTGGCAAGAAGGAAGCTAGACATAGAATTACAGCGTTCAATGGCTGAGATGGGAGAAAATATCCATGAGTCACTCCTCAAAGCCTGCCTGTATAGGGCCAACCAATTTTAAATCCCATATGAGATTTCAAACAAAGCATTTAAGTAATACTGCAAAAAGATTTTGTGGTCAGACTAGACAAGACTGGAACTTCTTGCTCTGTATGCAATGCATTACATCACCCAATTAACACCATCTCTACTGTGAAGCATGGTGGTGGCATCATTATGTTAGGGGGCTGCTTCTTGTCAGCAGGGACTTGCAAGCTTGTTAAGACTGAGAGTATAGAAAGGGAGGGAGCAAGATACAGGCAAAACTTTCAGGAAAGCCTGCTAAAGTCTGTCAGAGTCTGCTAAAGACCTAAAACACGGTTGAAAATGTGCTTTTCATCAGGACAATGACTCAAAGCACAAGTGTTGCTTAACGAGAAACTGAAAGTCCTTAAATTGTCCAGTCAATGTCCTAATTCGAATCTGTGGCAGGTCTTCGAAATAGCTGTCCTAGAATGAGCAAACATTGTGCAAAGTTGGTAGAGACTTATTCAGAAAAACTCATAGTTGTAATTGCTGCCAACGGTGCTTCCACCAAGTGGCTTAGGTTTGTGAGTACATAAGCATACTATACACACCATATTTGTTTTATTGATTTGTCTTTGCTGACATTTAACTTCTTTCACCCATAAAAGTGTTCAGTTTGTGCATTCACATTTTGATTAAAAGTATTCACTTTAAACATATGAGCATGCATAATGTGTAATTCAATTAAAATAATTTTCATTGGAAAGGGGTGACTACGTTTGCAAGGCACTGTATGTGTCACAATGTCAGCATAAATGTTGATACATACAGAAGATATTTTTCATGACTCAGGAAGCTGATTAAGAAGTGAGATTTTTTAGACTGGCAGTGTGGCATTACAGAGGTGTTTTGGAATATACAGTTGTTATACAGTGTTTATACTAAGATTGTGCTTCATGTTGGTGTACTTTGTTATATTTTTGTTTTGCAAATGAGTTATACTTTAACTAACTAGGCAGGGGCATTTTGCTGGGATGGTAATAATCATAATAATTGCTTACACTTATATAGCCCTTTTCTGGAAACCACTCAAAGTGCTTTACAGGTAATGGGGACTCCCCTCCACCACTGATGTGCAGCACCCACCAGGATGATGAGACAGTAGCCATAATGTGCCAAAATGCTCACCGCACATCAGCTATCAGTGAGGAGGAGAAGCCAATTCATAGATAGGGATTATTAGGAGGCCATGATCGGTAAAGGCCAATGGAAAATTTTGCCAGGTCGCTAGGGATGAGTGAGGAGGAGAAGCCAATTCATAGATAGGGATTATTAGGAGGCCATGATCGGTAAAGGCCAATGGAAAATTTTGCCAGGTCGCTAGGGATGATACATTACCCTCCTTAACTATATGTTGAAGGCCATGATATCTGCCATAACAGGCAGTAACAGTATCTTAATATCCATCTTCTTGCATTACATTTAGTGCTGCAATGTGCTTTTCTTACCAACAGGACAGGATCCCTCTGACACCACCAGCACTTCTGTCTGCTGTTTGCAAGCATCTTTTCGCAGGTAGCACTCATTCTGGTAGTTTTCATTGTTGGAGCCACACACTGGCACGTAGTCATTGTTGCACTGTGGAAGAAGGAGGAGACACTAGTGATTGATTCATTAATTTGTATTCACAATGGCTATGTGAATTTTTTTTTTTAATATTGTGAAATAGCCTTCAGATAATATAGTACCCAATGATGTGGGGTGGCCAGATGATCTGGTTCATATGATTGTAAGCCCAAAGCAAGACAAAACATTCCAAACTCCCTACTGAATATAGGAATAAAGTATAATTCTAGTTTTCTAGAATTACGTAGTTTCACATTGGATTCAGAAAGTTACTGGAACAGACTTGGGATCCTCATGCTTCTATGATGCTAAATTCATTAACAATAATAGGGGGAACAGGGTCCCAGTTAATTTAGATAACAGGTTATTCTCTGTATCAGCAGGTTTCATTATACTAATAAAACCTATGCACACTATCTGAATCTAAAGTTTTTCCTTCAGTTAGCAGTATTAAAACTTCTTTTCTGTCCATAGCAGCTATAGCCCTAGGTCACAAACATCGAACCTTGCTTACCATTGCAGGGGAAACAACAGCAGACAGGTGATGTTTTATGTGCCTGATAGTCTTAATTACACCAGCTTCAATCAAAGCAGGAAGATGCTGCTGTATGTGTAATGCAGTTGTTTTGTTCCAACAATCTGTGGTATGAGACCCATGCAAAAGCACTTTGTTTTCATTAGAAAAGAAATGAAGACCTCTAAAATGTTGTCTAATCACTTTCCTGAGCCTACAAACTAAACAATTAAAAAAACATTTAAAAAAACAATTTGGACTCAAACAATTATGTGTTAGGCACTGCAAAAAGAGCGTGGAAAATTGTGTATACAGCTGTTCACTCCAATATCATAAGCTGCCTTTTTTAAAAAGGTCAGTTGTTCTGTGTTTTAAATGGTGTGGTTAAAGCTGAAACTCATGTTTTCAACACCTGTTAACCTCACTTAATATAACAAACACTCTGTTCAATTAACAACAAAGGGACAATAATGAACTAAATTAAAATGTATTCTGATGGTGCCAGGATGAAGCTGGCTGGTATTTTATTGTCATTGTAGATGGAAATTATATAAACTAATTTTGGCTGAGTGGAATTTTGCTTTGAAGCTCACGAACACAATGAGAGATAAGAAACACTTCAAAACACAGCGATAAGTATGAAGAGTGTGTTGAAAAATTAACTATTCATTACTTGTTACACAAAAATGACAGACCTGAACCACTGAGAAATGAATACAGGAGAAATATCAAAACAGCCCCATCTGCAGGCAAGGGCCTGGTAGGGGGGAAAACTGTAGCCGGAGAGTATCATGCTGTGTGTGTCAATTAGAAACCAACACCCTCAGATTTGCACTTTAAATGAAATAGGTGTACAGCATGAAATAGGTGTACAGCATGAAATAGGCATACAGCTTGAGACTGTGTCTCAAAAACGAAAGTGAAAAAAATGCAAATAATTATACCTCCAGATCAAGCACAAATATTCAACAAGTCCTGCAAATTTAATTTTCTTTCTTAAATAATACTGCAAAGGTAACGTGAGAGAGATGATGATATTAAACAACTCACTATAATATTTCAAATGACGTGCCAGTGTGTCAGAGTCCTGAAGTTGTTCTCTGATAACAATGTGGAAACTGCGTGGTACTGCTGTATTTTACCAACATTTCAATATTTTGAAAAAAAAAACGTCAAAAATGAGAGAGTGAAACTTGCTGTGCAGCCTCCTGTGCTCACCATATTTCACTACTTGTGTTTCAACCACAGCACATATTCATATTTTTGGATCTTACGGTATACTAAAACCTAGCAGCGGGTCATCAATACGCAGAGCAGTATCACAGACCAGTAAGAAAGGATATGCATTTATCACTGAAATATGAAAGAGCAGACATGAACCAGCAAGGAAGTAAACGACTGTATGGATCTCTTCCCTGAAGTGGTCTGGGCCTCACACAGAGAAATCGTAATTTTAATCCACTTTCTCCTGCTAACAAGGAAATCCAACACACTCCATTAAAAGAATCCGCACATGGCATTTCAGTCACATAATAAGATTATAAAATAACTGTGCCATTGATTTTCTTTTTATGTTAAATCAATTAGCATCCATTTTTTATCAGTCAAGATGTAACATAATCCATGAACTCTGACCAACTGTTCACTTCAAATCACGACAAAAGGTCACATTAGAGGGAAACTCGCAGCAAAGGAGGAGCATTCCTCTTTTTTCTTAGCTGCTGACTCAACTAGGAAAAAAAAACACCTCCCTAAACTCTTTAACCTTGTCCTCCATCTGGGATTGATCAAAATAGCTGAACAGATCTCCAGTATACGAAGGGTGAAAACATCTTTACGAGATGTCTGAAATCCATACACCAGTAAGAGTGCTCCTTGATCTTCATCATATCTGCTCAATCTCCACTCCAGACAATCCTTCTACGCATGGCCCCTCAGCAGTCCAGGTCTTTATGCATGAAATGTACATTTGGATTTCATTTCTACGTTTTAGTCTTCGGTTTTACTGTTAAGATGACTGTTTAACAAGGAAATACAAAAGGAGCCAGTCTGCTATGAAACATTTCTCCCCCCTGTATGAAAGCATAATCCCTTAAATTGGCTCAGAAAGAAACCAGTAGGCGGCAATCACGAACGTAAGCAGTAATGAACAGCACAGGGTGCTGCATTTAACAGCAATCAACCACATTTTACCACTGGCATTTGCTTGTTCTCATTTGCTTTTATGACATGGATTTGATGTAAAATGGCTTAGTATTTGTTTTCCATGAATACACTGCAATTCCAACATAACAAATCAGTTTTAAAAGCATCTCTAAAGAAACAAAAAAGATAAATGTTGTATCTTTAATATTATACGTATATTAAATTTCTGATCTGTTAAATGCTCAGAAAGTATGACATTTGATTGTTTGCAGTTCCTTCACTTTCCTGCAGGGGCTGCTGTGGTCCTTGGGTTTGAAGGAGAGTCATGCAGGACAATGGCCACACACTTCAGATCACAGAGCCTTATGCAAAATGTTAAAAAGGAAATAAAAATGAGACAAAAATGTCATATATCCACTGGAGAACATGAATCCAATCTGGCAGGCTGTCCTGACACACTGACATTCAGCTCTGTATCTCTCTATTTGTTCTGCTCCCAGTCATGTCTCCTGAATGTTAAGTCTTGCATTATTATCTGACAACTGGCTTCATAATAAAGGTGCATTTCAGTATATAAAATTGAAGACAATCTCTCCAAGTGGTAAAGTGTTTTTTTTTTCTAAAAACTGAGACTGTCAACCCATGTTGTTATTAACCTATGCTATAAATACTCTGCAAAAATATAAACAAAGAAAACAGTAAAGTTTCTCTAATTTCTTGTCAGTTTTTACAATTTTTGTCAAGTCGTATGAAGTAACAAATAAAATCTATTTTCTACAAAATACTGCATCTACTGTTTACCAGGCATTGAGAAGTATACTATTTTTGTTTTTTTGCTGGTATCCCTATTTGCCTATAGAATTACAATTGTCTGTAAGCTTCAATTGTTATCTGAAATACACTGTTAAAATTGCAGAACATATCTAGAACCTGATGATGCTGGCAACATGGAAGAGAGATTATGGAGATCTCTCATTCCATCTGCTTTATTTCAGGTGGGGTTTTGTTTGTGGATTCATCATGGATGTTAAGTGTGGCAGTTAAGTGATCTATTCATTGATCCTGATCTTCAGATCAAGTTGACAACAAGTCAAGTAAAAGTAAAAATTTTAAGTTTTAAAGAGCCATTCCAAACATTCTCTGCACCATAAATTTGTAAACATTATTAACAAATACACAAAGCATGGACACATTAACGTTTCTTTGTAAGCATGCATGAACATCCAAAGGTGTATTTTTAGAGAAAATGTTAGTAGATTTGCTTTTTAAATGGAACTTGGTCCCTCCTAACTATACATGGGGACCATGTAGCCAAGTGAGTTAAGCCAAATTATTGTAACTTAAAATGCTCCATAAACTTTTTAATAAGCCTAATTCATGAGTGTTGTCATTCTTAGTGAAATAGGTAGTGACAGAACATTAAAAGGGACAGAACCTTTGATGCAAAAATAATTAAGTAAAGCTGTACAGCCAATGTTTACTACATATAAATCCTTATTAAAGCTACATAATGCAGCAAAACATATACTTATCTTTGTAATTGCTTTAGAAATAGTCTTGACATATATCTTAGTGTTAACGATGTGTTGTCATGGTATTAGGTAAAGCAAGAAATCTATGGTAATTAACTGAAAATTGAGCACTTTAGTTCCTACTAGCTTTTAAAATTTGACTGTAAATGAGGAAAATTCTAAAATAATACTGTACAGTTTATCATGTTTTTAGTAACCTATGATGGCAACAGGTTTGTAATCCATCCATCCATTTTCTAATAGCTTTATCCAATTCAGGGTCATGGGGGAGCCAGAGCCTATCCCAGCAAGCAATGGGAGCGAAGCAGGACACCAGTCCATCACAGAGCGCACGCAGACACACACTTACCAGGGCCAGGTTTTGCAGCAGCTAGGTAACCTAGAGTACCAGTATGTCTTTGGACAAGGGGAACATACAAACTCCACACAGATAGCATCCCGGGTCCCAACGCCGAGAGACAGCAGTGTTAACCATTTCACCACTATTATTATGTGGTGATTGCCCAGGTTCATAATCCTGCAAGGTAAATTTTTAATACCTACCAACAACGTTTTTCAGAATTGACTACATCATCTCGAAATCCTTTGTGAGCTTCAGGGATTCAAAAAAGGCAGTCTGTACAGACATAATAATAATCTCCCAAAGTAAAAACATCTAGGAATTGGGAGATTAATTCCATGTCAAATCAAGTGACAAATGACTATATGGGAAAAATGAAAGGGACAGGAAAATAATTTTCTGATTCTTCCTAACAATAAGATATATAGTTAACCTACCGTCTACCCCTTAAACAGAAAAATAAACTGCTATCGTGACAACG